AAGATCAAATATAAAAAAAAAAAAAAAAACAATTTAGACATACATACGTTCACACACACGAACAATATGGTTTTACGTATTTGTACCCTTAATTTCAAATCGAATTTAAAAACATTTTTTAGCCTTTTTACCATATTTTTGACTCAGTATGTTTTAAGTTCTAAGAGTTATTTCAAGAGACATTAAAAATGCTCGCTTGAGCGGAGAATTTCGGTACGATTGCCTGATATTGTAATTGCGCTATTGTGGGAGTCGATAGCGACACTAACCATTTGGTGGGAGACACACACTTACACCATGATTATCGACCATGAAACAAATAATAGATGTATTGAATTTTGTAAAGTCTTTTATTATGTGTGTCTCCCCGCCCTGGTTCCCTTTTGAATTTTCGAGTCTTGCACGCTTCCCGTTCAAGTTGCCTGGCTCTCTCTAGCATCAGCGATCGAATCGACAGGACACTCCCGCGAAGCTGTCGCTGCTCGACCTGCACGTCTAGCTGTAGACAAAAGTTTTTGCATTGCTTCGCTATACTTAAATTGTTGTAACATTTCAATCTCATATTTTACGCTGTAGTTCGCCAGGCAATCATCGCTCAAAACTCCGCTCTAGCAATTCGTCGTAAGTCGCCCTTTTTATTTCGCAACTAAATTTCGTTGATTGTTTTTACAATGAGTCCGCGTTGAATTATATACTAAAGCCTTTTTGAATACTTTAATTTCTCTAAGTAGTCTTTAAACAGTTATTACCTTCGTTTACCCTAGTTGTTATCATTATTAATATATTATTATTCCTTTAAATAAATATATTAAACTTTTGTTTCACCTTACGTCATAGTTCAGTCGTATTTATTTTCCCCTAGATTTTTGCATATACCTGAAAGATATTTATCATTTAAAGCTATATTTGTCCTTTTATTATTTCAATTTGTCCTTGATGTGCGGGTTCGTTTCTTGGATTGACTATAATCTACTCAAGAGGACACGCATCATAAACACAAAATTTAAAAAATGCTTGACTTCATTTTATTTAGAATATCGATAAGTGATATGTATTGGCAGGGACATGCATCTCAAATTGAAGCAATGCAAAATTGTTATGTTTATCGTTAAAATTTTTATTTGATGCAGGCATTTTCAGATAAAGAATTCAAAATATGCTAGAAATAATGGATTTATCAATTTTTTGAACAGTCAATTTTCGTAAGTTTGATTAATTACTTTTAATGTAAATTGTATCATCCTTTACATTTTAATTTTATCGTCAATCTATGATGAAAAATAAAAGAAAAAAAAATTGGTTTGAAATTGAATACTAAGGATGCAAAAGATAAGATAACAGGTATGCTGAGATCTGCTTTGCTTTTGGTAACATTTTTCTATCGAATGAAATCTCTTGCTGAAGAAATGTTTGGTTAAGCGTGTAAAATTACATCAAGAAAAATTAAGCAGTTAGCACCGATTAGCGAAGGTTAAGCACCAGTGTTATTAGAAGAAAAGTAATTCTTTAAAGAATTTTTATTATGCATTTAATACTTCAATATGTAAGAAACTGCATTTATCGTATATAACAAAATTTAAGCTTTTCTATACTAATACTGTATTTTTTAATAGTTGGAATTGGTACCAAATAAATTTTTTTTTGACATATGCTTATAGTGAAGAAAGAAAAAATTTTATGTTTGTTTTCTTCAAGGCACATTTCAAATTATTATAACAATAATAACANAAATAAAAATATGACGTATGGGTAAAAAGGTGTAGAAACTTGTTACAAAGCAGTGGTTTTAGTAAAAAAAGAAACGAATAGGAACAAAGTAAATAAAAGAAAGTATATATAAAGGCATGTAAATGCCGAGAGATTGGATGGTGTGGAAGGCCGGATGCAAGTTTACAGGTTATGTACAGCGGTGTACTTGGTGGAATTAAGTATTTTTAACGGCCGGGGTGGCGGTGTGTTGTATGGGAATGATCTTCTCCCCGGGCGCCGAGAGGGCCAGAGTGGGCGCGGTGATGGTCAGCACTCCGTCGGAGGACAGGTGAGATTGGACGTTGCCGATGTCGTGGCCCTCGGGCAGGACGTAACGGCGCACGAACTGGCGCGAGATGTAGCCGTGCTCGTCCTTCTTCTCCTCGTGCTTGGCCTCGACGACGATAGAGTTGTCGACGGTCTTGACGGTGATCTCCTTAGGCGAGAACTGCTGCACGTCGATTATCACTCGGAACTTGTCCTTGTCCGACTGGATTCTCGAGACGCCGCCGCTCTGCTCCAGGAGGTTGCGCCAAGGCCGGTAGTAGCCGTGGAGTGACGGGACTGTGAGGGTGTTGAGCAACTCGTCCCTCGTCAGGCCTAGCCCAAAGTGCTGGTCGAACAATCGGCTTGGCCTCTCGAAGTCATCCCACCAATCGCGGAACATTGTTGGAATCAGTGCCATTTTTTCAGACTTTGCGAACTTGTTGCCTCGAGAGTCTGTTTCGAAGATGACTTAGCTGCAATATTAAAAAGTCATTGAATGATTTTTTTTTCAAATATTACATAAATTAAGATTTTGTTTTCAAATTCAGTTGCGAATTACTTAAATAATTACTTCTTATTCTTTCAAGTGATTTAAGAAAATAAATAATATATCTTATAAACTCATGCGTAGATCCACTCATGTACAAGTTGTATAAACACACAAAAATACAGTATACAACGCACAGTCAGTAAAAATCTGATCTGTCCATTTGGTTTGCCAATAAATAATGATATTCTCCTCACCTTACCGATAATTACTACAGATAATGACCGGCATTGAACATTTGTTGAAAAACCAGATGGACACTTCAAAGTTTCGGCTCAAATAAATAAAATCGTTTTGGCCAAAGAATCTTGTATTCCTAAATTCAAAAGTTAATAATGTTTCACATAAATACTACAAAAAATGTTTTATTGGTCGAACGTTTTATTTTCAAAATAAAATCAAACATAAAATATACTTCAGTTTAACTGCATTGTACTAAAGCCGTGACATACAACGCACAAGAGTAACATTAAGTAATATATCTATACACACATGTGCGCTGTACGTTATCGGTGGTATAGATATACCACCCCATGCATTCTTATGCGTTGTACATTGTGCGTTGTACATTACCGTATAAGTAGGCCAATGTTTATTAATTCTTTTGACTAATAAAGAAATTGCAGTAAAACAATTTAAAATACTTATTAATAAACATTTAATAGTCAAAAAAGTTAATAATGTTGTAACAGTAGCATGTTATGGTACAAGTCACGACAAGAAAAAATAAGACTTAATGTTTAATATCAACAGGTGAAAACAAAATCTATTACATACATTTGACAGTAAATAAGTACAAAAAAAATTTTTAACGGAAAGTGTTAAATTTATTAAGTTAAAGATGCAGTTTTCAAAAGTTTTAGATAATTACGTTTTAATTTAACAAAAATCGTTTTGAAACAACGGTTACTAACAGTGGCGCAGCGACGACACACGCGGACGTTTTGAACACATTAAAATCAATTATTGTTAAAAAGTGACCAGCAATTCTAATTAAACAAAAAACTAAACGACATTCTATTATCAAATTTCAAAAAAAAATTTCGAACACTTTCACTAAAACACAAGGCAAACTTATTTTTACACCGTTTAATAATTGTTATTGAAGCTAAACAATGAACTCAACACTTGCCTTTTCGTCGATGATTCCACGTTGGCTCACAATTATCAAGAAATATTTAAAATTAAAACAAGCAAGAAAAGAGAAAAAATCCGCTTGAGATAAACGTAGGTGTATGTATACACACAGAGACACTCACGTGTAATATCGCTTTGATGCTCGATTTCGTACTGCCCGGCTGTTCGTATTCGTCGGCCTTTTATAACCACAGCGTGCGCCTATACCGCTCTTTTCGAGACATTTCTGTTGCTATATACCGGTAAACGTTGTACGTACGTTTTTAGCTGTACTGGCAGTACTGGCACGCACTAAAATCGGACTGCGAGAGCCCTCCTGAATCATCTCGATGCTTCTATCGCTTACTTTGTTTTCGCATTGAGCCAAAAAAGAAACATTCGCATTTCCAGTATTATTGCACAATATTATTAAGCTCACCTATTTATACACGCGTCCCTTTTTTGATCAAACATAGCTTTACACAGACGGCTCATTATGGATCAATTGCGAACAGTGAATTAGGAAACACTGTTAATTTCTTTCACAATCGCTTAAAAAAGTTTGTGCGAGAATTCTCTTATTAAAATCATATAATCTAAAAATTAAATCAAATGTTGCATTTAGATTTGAGGCATCATTTTCTATTACAGCTATTTCTCCACGATACGCTTTACTGATCTAAGTAAAAAAAAAAAAAAAAGTAAAAATAAGCTTTATTCCTAACACATACGTATACAAATTTCCCTTAACGCACCACATACTCCAGCGGTTAAGGACACATAATTATAGGCTTCCATAAAAGTTTCTCCGAGCTTTCCTTGCCAAGGCCAAAATATGCCGACAGCTCATCTTTACTTTCTGGCATAAAATGATTTAGTAACTGTGTAGAATTAAGCCAAGGAAGAATATTTAATTCTCTAGTATAGCGCGTGTCCTTACTGATGCGTTTAATGTGCATGACAATAGAATTTTACTCCCTTCCACTACGCAGCAATGCTTAGGATATATTAATAATTATTCGTAAATGTCCTGCGCGTGTTTTTATTCTCGTTTATCTTTCCTATAATCTGTTTCTCTTCCAGCACTGACTCACTGGTAAATACTTTATGTCATTGATCCAGTGCTTGTTTTTGGATGTTGGTAGAAAAAAAACAAGCTAGTTGTTGGTGTGTGTGTATTTATATTTAACGTCAATGCGGTGACGTTTCGATGAGCACGTTGCTGTTTTTTTGGAGAGGAACAAGTATCAGCAATCAAAAATTTATTTTAACCAGAAACTAAAAAAATCAACAATAAAACACACCTAAATATTTTGTTCAGCATATATTGAATAACGTTGGATGAAATTTTTTTTTTTCATGTTGACGCTTAAAAAATATTTATGCATTCATCTCCATTGTAGTTTTGTTTTTAAGTAAAGTTCATCTTAGAATATGGGTAATAATTTTCGTTAATGACTGTTACTTTTTTGTATGGTACCAGGTTTTTTATTTTCTTTTAAAATATGAAAAAAATTAGGTGATCCAGATGTTGATTTTTAGAGATCAATTTAGAATTTTTAACCATAGCATCCTATCAATTTTAGAGTACACAAATTTTTGACTTTTTACATATAGTTGAAAAAAAAAAAAAATCGTGTTTTCTTTATTTTCTATACCTTAACTTTATTCTTTGGTCTCTGCTTACAACGGAAAATATGACATCGAGTAAACGGACGTGTGCGTCAGTGATTTTCAATATCAAGACCATGGTATTTAGTTAATAATATATTGAGCTACCCCTTACATTATGACTACTACCACCAAAGTAGGCCGATGGAACATGAAGTCCATTGCTCCAACCAATTACAATGCAAAGATATGCCACGTACCTACTCGCAGCAAATTAGAGCTACTGTTGCTCCTACCTTTTATGTACGACAGTCAATCTATTGATTTTGATAGCTTTTTTCTCCTACGCTACCTGCGCCAACAAAGGTAGGGTTGCCCAAGCGCCTTTTTTCCCCTGCCACCGCAAGATTTGGATGTTTTTGGCCTCTTCTGCTACTTATTTATGAGTGTACAAAAGATGTATTGATCTTTGGCGTATAGTACGTAAAAAAGTTTACAATAAAGAGATTTTGTTGCAGTTGGTTTATAGAAACGAAAATTTAGTAAATGTGCTGACAATGATGATACAAATACTTTTTCGTTAGTCAGAAGTTCCGGATTGTTATTAAAACCGAAGTCGTTTGGGATTTCAAGATTATAATAATAATAAAGATTCGTAACAGTAATATTGATTAATAATGTGAGTAGTGATCATAATAGTAATACTAATAACAAAAATAATAAGCAACGAAACAATAACATAAAAATTAAACATTTACTTTTTGGTATCAATTTAAAGATATAATAGCTTTTAATAAATTGAGAAGTATTTCGCTGGTTTTGTTTTAAAACGGTATATCACTTAAAAGGAAACAACATTATGTCGCTGAGGGCAAGATAAATCTATTTTGGGAAAAAGAAGACTTCAACATGCACTTACTTGATAACTTGACTCTTGTGACGCAAAAAACTTGTGATTTCCCAGTACTCTATGGACCAAGTTGGGCACGGCTGGAATGGACTCTCTTTCGATGCTTGGAGTTTTGATGCCTTGAGCTTCGCAAGGGACTTCTCGCCAATGACGACGGAGTTAAAAGCTAGGCTTCTTCGTCAAACTGAATTGGAAATATCGTATGGGGTAATCACTTTATGTTGAAGTGTTGTCTAGCTGGCGTACTGACAGACAGTGTCGTGTTGGGGTTGTGCCTTGATGGGTACGGTATTCTATTTCCCACTACCAAAATTTACTGGCCATCAAGTGGGAGGAATGTTACGCCCATTAACATACTTTATCCCTTCCACACTTCCCCTCTTTTTTCTGTATTTTTGGGAACAAACAAATTAGAAGCCAATCCATGTAGGACGGACTACAATGAAACTAATAAATGACAAATTTTTGAATCCTTTTAATACAGATTCGGTATTCTTAACGATGAACTTTTTAATTACTTTGTTATTTTTTGAAACATTTAATTATTTAAATTTGTGTATAAAAATTTTATTTGGACAATTTAAAATAGTTAGATGCTGCAAATTTTTAAGAACTTTAATTGGTTTTTAGCGTGCCAAATTTATTGAATGAACGAAATTTTTACGACCAATTTTCGTACGAATCTTGATTTCTTCATTTTTTCTGCGTTCTAGAAATTTTTGTTCAACTAATCCTGCAGGTGCGAATATGCTTTTTAGTTTTCTTTTATAAAATATAAATTATTGGACAGTTAAAAGAATAAGCGTATTTCACTTGGTTTCTGGTCAAAATTGTAAAAAGTGAGAGATACTTTTCTGCGGATTATGAGGAAGCAGTTTGGTGCACAGTCGCTAATCTTAATATTCCAAGGAGAAAATGGAGCAGTACAATAAAACCAAAAAATTGAATTTAATACTGAATATCTTTTAAGTAATAATCACTTCGTATGTCAATTTTTATGAATTAATTTTATAAATTGATAATTTAAAACACTAAACTACCGCTGAGTTTTTTTTAAACTCGAAAATTGTAATATGGTTAGTATGTATGGTTTTAATCGTTAGAAATGTAGTATTATCTACTCATGAAACCCAATGAATGACAAAATCTAACGATGAAAACATTTATACCAATTGATATTAAAAGAGAATTAAAAATAATAACTTGGTTTGCAGTGGATTGCGTTAAGTAACACATTTTCTTTTTCTTTTTAATGCTTATTTTCTAGAGTTAAATTATTGAAGAATCGTATTATATGCATTAGTGTTCATCTGCGTGATATAAATGTACATGTTTCTTCTATATAAGAGCAAGATTATTTGAAGACAGCGATTAAATCAAATGTTGCATTTAGATTTGAGGCATCATTTTCTATTACAGCTATTTCTCCACGATACGCTTTACTGATCTAAGTAAAAAAAAAAAA